TACTACTACTACTACTACTAGTAAGAATATTTTAAGTATGTAGTTTCTCATTTTGTCTTGTATGCAAAAGATAATTTTAAAAGATTTATTAACAGATATAGATTTAAAAATAATAGAATAAAATTTTTTATTTAAAAAATTATGTTTTGATCTATATACTATAACAATTAATATATGACATTTTCTTTAGATACGACATGTAATTCAACTTGCAGTTGCTGCAATAGTAGATTTGATGGTAATATAGATAAATAGCTGTAAAAAATTAAAACTTAAATCAAAATAAATAAATATAAATTTAAATAAATAATTTTTTTTCAAAGAAAACTCTGAAGAATTTACAGACTCAGAATTATTTGATACGAAGTATAGTTATTGATGTGTTGTCTGAAGTAAAAGAAATGAAATTGCAACTGAAAAATAACTATCAACAAACAAATACCCAAAAAAAGGAACAAACACATTCAATATTTAACAATAAAGAGCTAAATTTTCCACTTCAGACAGAAGAAGAGCTTCAGACATTGGAGCGTATTCTGGAAAACGAAAATGAAGTTGTTAAAGCGGTAATATAAGTTAGCTTTAAGAACACATATGTATATGACTAAATTTTTTTAAATTAAATATGTACAATAATTTATTTGTAAAATAACTCATAGAGTATTACATGATATATTATAAAAATTGTAATTTATTTGTAAAATGTAATTTATTTGTAAAATAACTCATAGAGTATTACATGATATATTATAAAAATTTAAGTAGCATGTTTTTTATGTAAATTGAAATAGAAAATGTTCTACAATTCGAAATGGTTATTCATTTATAAACTATATAACTTATTTATATAATATAATTCGCACTATACAGTACATTAATACCAAAGGATTTAATTTCAACATTTTTTGTGATTTTTGCTTTCTTTCTTTTTTCCATTTTAAAAAGAAGATATACTAAAAAATTGTGCTACAACTTATAAACTTTAAACTTGTAGATTAACTTTTAAATGTATAACTTCGAATAATTTCGAATTAATTTCTTTTCATGTTTATAGGACATTTTTTACTTTAATTTGCAACAGACACACGCTTTTTTAATTTTGTACAATATGTCATGTAATACATTGTTTAACAATTTTCGGAATTAATATAATTTAACAACTTTGCTATATATAATAAAATATTTATATTTTTTTCTAATAACATTTAGTTCAAAAGTTCTTGTTTATTTTTTAGATAAACGAATTACAAGGAATAGGAGGAAATAACGGATATGAATTTATTAGAAGAGCTTTATCCATGATTTTGACAAATAGAATTGCTGAAAATTATAGTTTCTTTGGAAGAAAGAAAAAAAAACCATTTTCTGTTCTAAATATCTGTAAAGTTGTAATAAGTAAGTACATTCATAATAGTTTGTTATGAATTGAGCAAAGAAATATAATAACATATATATAATATAATTTTAATAATGTGATTTATTTTAAATGCATCAAAAGAAGGAGATTATTGTTCAAGTACAAAGGAAGCTGAAACATTTATTTCTGGTTGGTTACGTAGAGCTCCGGAAAGAGGAAAGAAAAGTACATAAATAATTTTGCTACAATATGAAGAATATTCATCAGCGAATCATCGCTGACAAAAATCGCTTCCCTGTTCCTTGGACGACAGAATAATCGTTTCATTATCGGTACACTTTCCCTCAGACAGCCTGCGTAAGCGAACCTCAAGTTCTTATTACTTCAGGGACAGACCTTGTTCAGACATAGTTTCGCTAAGTATTAAAAATATAAGTTTATATTATATAGATTGCGTCAAAATGCGCAGACGAGCACGGAACTCTTTTTTTTCATATGCTGTCGATGCGAAATAGAAATAGCATTAGCTTCGAATCAGCATTGAAGTCTCACTCGTTGTATGTGGTCTCGAATCACATTTATGCTTTTATCATATATTTTTATAAAGATGTTTTTATTTTTTACTTTTTTCATAAATGCTTTTTTATGTTTTGGTTTTGTTAATAAAAAATATATAAAGTCGTTTATATAAGTTAATAAATAAATACTTTTTAAAGTGTCACAGGAATGCATCCAAAAATGTAAAGGGCCCACTGAAGAAAGTTTAAAAACTCACAGTATTTTTCATATAATTAACATAACGCTATTACACTTTTTTTTATTGATTTGTATGAAGAATAATATTTGACTAATTTGCACGAAGTATTGACTATTTTTTTCAGTTTTAATAAATAATATATTTACGCGTAAATACGATACTTTTTAGTTTTAATGGCAATTTGAGTTGTTCGTTTAAAGCAGTGGACCCTAATTATTTTTGAATAGTGTTTTATACATAATATATTGTATCGATTCGTCGATTGAACAATCGTCGAGATGTTCGTTGCGTTTAAATTTTTTATATGCCGTTATGCATTGTTAAATGTGCAATACATTATATGTAAAGCAAATTAAACTATTAAAATTACTCCAATTTATATAAAGATTGAATAACACTAATTGTATGTATATTGTATACCTATCCACATATACAAATTTAAGCAGATAAAACAGCTAGTCTACTCATCAGACAATTAAATGTAATTCGATCCAAAGATAAAAATCCAATTCACATTTAATTGCTTGGTGAACATATTCTATCTGCTTTGTCTACTTGAATTCGCAATATTTTAATTATGTCCAATTTTGGTCCATTTTATGCGTAAAATGGATGTTTTTTGAAAGTCCAAAAGGGTAACACTGTACGTCTTTAAAACATCCTAAAGATGTTTACGGCTCTAATTCGGATGTTTGAAATACGTCCAAAACATCCAATATATACATTTTTAATACGTTTTTAAAACATTACTGTGCTGTCTGGGAACAGTGTTCGTGTATCACTGAAGGGTTGTTGCGGTTTAATTTTTTATGTTCTTTTATACGTGTCGAAAGTAATCTACTTGTTTGTCCCGTGTATGTTGCATTACAGTTCTTACATTTGATTTGGTACACCACATTAGAGTTGGATGCATACGGTATCTTGTCTTTGTAACGTTCCGCTTTTCCCGTGCTCGGACTTCGCTCGCCGGGGTCAGGGTGAGAAAGCGGTGAGACACTGACGTGTTGTAAGTCGACGTTTATTGTGTGGTAGTGTATGTTCAATGTGTATAAAAGGGGTGTAAACGCTGGGGAGCGTGTGTCTGGGGTTATTGCGGTCACCGGTCGTACCTTCACGGTCTTATACCTACGGTCGTAAGCGTGGTCTACAATGGCAGTAGGAGTAGTGGATTAAAGAAGTAGGCGTTAGACATAGGCTGTAGGATTAAGGTCCCTTTACGCCCGAGTGTCTACAATGGCGTAGAGTAAGGATTATAATGAGCCAATCAGTGTTAACCAATGTTATTACACAAATGTTACCGTTTTTGGCGAATATGGATGTGCGAAGAATTGGATTTGTGTTATTTATATTATTATGGAGTCAGCTCTTGACTCTTCAATGGCGTATTATGCAAACGAAAAAATCTATCGGTCGGAGGTGGTGGGTTCGGCCTGTGAACAGGCGCAAACGAGATCAGGGTTTCAACTTTAACCTATTTCGTGAACTGATTATCAGTGATCACGAAGAATTTTTTAAGTATACTCGCATGTGGCCAGAACAGTTCGAATTTTTACTCAATTTAGTGCACCCATATTTAGTAAAGCATAGCATCCGGACACCCCTTTCACCCAGGCTTCGTTTAAGTTTGACTTTGACGTAAGTATTACGACGTACTTTTTCTTCCCGCTGTGAACGGACGTACTTAACTGCGTTCGGCATTGCAAACGCGAGGCGTCGGAGTGCATCTCCTCCCTGTCTATCTCATTCTCCCCTCTCGCTT